TGTTATAAAACCATAAGTTCGTCCCATCTGGAGGACAACACATCCTTCACATTTTCGTTTAATATTATGTGAAGTCAGTGATGGCCAAGATTAAAGCATCACGGCTGGTTCAGGCTTTTGAACTGGTGACCTTTGCTGGATCACCGAATCTGACTCCCGCGAGCGACGCCGTCATCCGTCAACATTAAACGGCTCTGTCGCTGCATTTCAATCAACGGCACCGCTCGAGCGGGAGACGGGTGGGACTGGCACGGGGAGCGGCCGAGGGGGGAGGGGGGAAGCAAACGTCTCAGGGCTCAGCTCGAATGGGGAGGCGGTCTATGTGCCCCGCAGGGCCTGGGTGAGCAGGACGAGCAAGCGGGCTCGATGAAGCGCCTCTCCGTCAGGCAGCAAACTGGAATTCCTGCCAATAGAGCAATTTAAACATACTTTCATCAAACTGAGAGACTTGATTCATGGGAATAAACGAGAGCGAAAGCAACAATGGGAGGCCAGCGCCTCTCTGACATCCTGCTGTTAAACTATACACATTACCAGTAAAGACAATGAAGGAGCACACAATCAATTCCAGAAAGAATATCAAAGCGACCAACGGCGCGCAGATAAGAGGGCTGGATGGGTAATTATGGCTTGCATAGGCAGAACAGAAACTGGGCAGAGGGTGGTCCAGACCAGAGAGGGGACCGCTGACCCAATATGAAGTTGCTGGCTCGGGGAAGAGAGGAAGCTCATTAGTCTGACCAGATGGGTCAAAATGCAGGGGCTGATTCACCAAGTTTTAATTTCCCCAGTAGCCGCGTGAGAAAGTGTGTGCATGCTTGTACGGAAAAGACCTCCACCTGCCACACCAGTCCACAACCAACGCCATCCGGCCGTACGCAAAATCAGCAGTGACCACAAGAGGGAGCTCTCCCGGCAGTCAGGCACGCCGCAGAAACTCAGAGCAAATCCCTGATGAGCTAAGAGCTGGTGTAGGACATCTAACATTAGTAATGCAATATAATGTAAACAGCAGAACCACACACTGTTCAGAACAAACAGCCGGGAGTGCGGCTGCACTGGAGAGCCTGTTGCCAAGCCCTGCTGTCTCAGCCAGCTCTCCCAGCAGGCCTTGCTGCCTCTCAGGTACGTGGCCAAACTAGATCATGTAGCTGGAAGTCTTACTCACCGACATCTGATGCTACAGCACAGCACAGCACAGCTCAGGGTCGCACAGGCTGATCTGTCTGTTTACTAGCACTTTACTCACTTCCACTAGGGAGTTCATGAACCCCGCCCCCAACTCCGTAACATATTACGATTGACCGAAAAATATTGTGCCCCTCCTCATTTTGCAGCTTTTCTTAAACAGGAAAATAGATCGGCTAATCTTGAGTAAGTCGAGGACAATCGAGTTTCAGTGCAGAAAATCGACACTTTCTGCCCGAACTCCCTTGGCCTGAAAACACATGCAACACCCGTACATCCGAAATCCCAAACACAAAATACTACAAACTGGTGCCCGCAGACAAAGAAACAAATCAGAATGTACACAAAAACAACCAGAAAGAAAACAGAGACAATAAAACACGAAGAAAGCGCTTCTGTCAAACACACTCCTCTCACAAACACCCAGATTAAATCAGCAGTGATTAAACCAGCTGTCGGGTGTTCAGCACATTCACTGACAGATCATAAATTATGCATGCTCCTCTGGTCATGTGACTGCCATTACCCATCCTTCTGCATCTCCAGAGTCGTCTCACCTAAGTAAGAAGCCCTAAACCCATCCACTCCTAAAGACCTGACAGCTGATTGCCCTCCAGAACTGCAAATGTTAAATATCACCTGCATGCCACACTATTCAATTTCAAGTTTTATTAAATAAATGCTATATAATTAACCGACAGAATAGAAGCTTTTGAATTCTAAATATCATTACGGATTCTCGATAAATTGTCTCTAGAAGCAGATGGGAATCCTTTTCTGTCTCCCCAAGGACCCTTCTGCCTTCCATACCCTAGCCGGCTGTGAGAGGCGCCGATGAGGTTCCGAGCTGCTAGACCGCTCTAGAACATCCCAGTGGCCCGCTCATCAGAGTATGCTTGAAGGGGTCAAAGGGGTGGGAGATTAATTTGTCGATGTTCTTCAAGCATTTTGCAAGCAGCATCAACTGAAGGTTAAAGACAGATGCATTTAAAGCCATTTAACCCATGAACACACCCCTCCCACCGCCAACTGCTGCTGCCAAGCCAGTATACAAATTCTCCAGCACCACCAAGAAGCCTCACGCTTAAACCCCTCGCCTCAGCACTTCTGCCACTGAATGGCTTTTGTTGTAATTTCAACCCCCCCCCCCCCCACTGTTTACCAGCCACTCTCACCTAATAGGTGAAAATAAACATTTATCACTTTAAGGCGCATTCAAATTCCTCATTCCTCCCTGCCCTCGTAACAGTATTGTATGGGCTTACCAGTGAAGCGCAGTTATCCCAGTGGTGATGTGTCCACGGCTGACCATGTTGCCAGGATGGTACACCAGAGGACTACGTCTGACAGCCCCTTCCCCAATTAAACCGAGGAAAGATGCCGTGTACAGATGTTTATTCATTAGCTAGACCTAACACCCAAACCGAAGAGATTCTGGGGCCGGATGATGTCACCGCGGCCTTTCGGCATCCCGTACACCAGCACGGGCCAGCAGAGTCGGCAGTAAGGGGGCCTCTCCAAGCGTGCGCTTGGTATTTACCACAAAATTGTTTTGTGATTTATGAGACTCAGGTATTGAGTTCAGGGTACGTACCAGAAGCAGAGATTGCTGCGGTGGAAAGGCCGCGCTGGACACGCCGACCTTCTGCGCCGAACTTTGCAGTCTGAGAGTAAGCAGCAGCTCCCCCCTGATTAATATCCCATTACAGGCTGCAGACGTGGCTGCGCAGTGCCCAGCTCCTTGCTCCCAGAGCCGTGTTTGGATATCGCAGCTGCGATCCCATTAACAGGAAATACTGTCCCCATATACAGCCCTCAAAACTATAAAAGTGAGCAGCGAGCATTACTCTCACTCACAAGTACCTCTCTAGTATAAGCAGTATTATTACTGTTATTATCAATATTGTTATTTGACAGGCACTATTACCTGGTTTATATGGATGAAACATTTACATGGTGGATTCATACTACAAGGCAATTTTAGGATATCTTGCCAATCATACAACAGGCAGTCAACATTGACAACTATAACACACACACACACACACACACAGGTTTTAATTACATCTTTGTGGGGACTCTCCATTCATTTCTAAGGGGAAAACTCTCATCCCAACATCATTACCTTAACCCCTACCCAGGCCTAACCTTAAACATAAGTAACCAAACAAAATATGAGATTTTTAACATGTTTAACAGATCTTTGTGGAGACCGGGAAAATGGTCCCAACAACGTCAAAATAACAAGTTTTCTTCATATTGTGGGGGACATATCTCTCTCTCTCTCTCTCTCTCTCTCTCTCTCTCTCACACACACACACACACACACATACACACGCAGACACAGGACATGAAACCCCGTTCAAATCCCCCTTATTGCTGCCGAGGTGGGGGGCGTGGTCCTGCTGTGAGAGAGTGATAGATGCTCTCTGTTCATTCACTCCCCCGTCTCTCATTCATGACTAAACACTTAAACTGCTGTGATCCGCTCCTTCCTGCCCCCAGGAAACACCCAGCAGACACCTGGCACTCCTCCCAAATCCCCTTACAGTATTTCTTGCCACCCCCACCCCCCACACAAAGCACACGCCCCGCTTCAGAGCTCCGCTTTATGCTCTGTCACTGCACTCGCTCTTTTCCCCACGCAGTCCCAGCAAATACCCGTACCCCTCCCAATAAAGCAGCCGCTCCCTGGCTGCTCCCGTGTCATATGATTACATTCTGTCACCGGAGAGAAGTATATAAAAAAAAAAAGGCACAGGAATCCACCATTAGAATCAGAGGATGGTGACACTGTGGCACTTGCGACAGATCCTACATGCCATTAGCTGATGGACATGAAACAACACAAGTCCAGAGTTGTTCTCTGCCTCATGAAGTGCCACCACACGCACGTGTCATATGAACCTGGCTGGCTGAGACCAGCAAACAAAGGAACTCTGGAACCAAGGATTACAGCAATTTCAGAACATCTTAGAACACCAGGAAAGACAAAAAACCTGGCTGAAGCTAATAGTTTCTGATTTGTGCAGAACGTTTCTTCTAGCGAAGACATCAATTATCCCAAAATAAACCCTACAAACTCAAAAGCTTTTGTGTTTCCATACTTTCATCAGATGAGGGCATTACAAGGTAACCATGTAAACATTTTTGTCTATATACTCTATATATATTTGTGTTAAGCAAAATATTTTCTTGAGGGTTCAAAGGCACTCAGACATCAGGTTTGTGTGAAGACGGACTCCAGGGAAAATGCACAGAGATCTGAAGAGCCCCCCCCCCCCCCATTAGTTCCAACCTCATTCCCACCGTCATTAAACTATTTGTGTTGTGGCAGAGGAAACTGCTAACACTGCGTTTGATCTGAGACAAAGCTCAGCATTGGCTGAGAAGCAAGCGCTTCGATTCGACGGCGCGTTTCCCAAACTCATCGCGCCATATCCCCCAGGCAATCTGAATGAGGGACAAAAAAAGAAAGGTTTTGCCCTACAATATCATTTTTCCGGGTCTATATTAAACTATAAAGGAGAAGCAGGTGAAGTGCTGAGCTCCACTTCTTTCCATCAGCCAGTGTTACTGAGGGAAAAAACTATTTGCCAGGGAAATATATAAATAAATGCAGAGTAATGAGGTGACAGGCCATATTCGCCATCTCTCATTTGTCATTACCTGCGCATTTGAAGCACTTCCTCCAGGATGGAAATAATTAAACGACGCTTTCCTCATCAACATTCACTCCTGCAGCCATCCTCTCCATGACAGACATGCAGGGCAAGATAGAAGATAAAAACAATGTAACGATGTAGACTTACCTGGTGCCCGGCCCGAATCTGCTCCAAGACTTTGTCGTAGCAGACTTCCTCCATGTCATGCAGCTGCTGTATCTGTACAGATAAAAGAAAAAAAATAAAGAAGGAATTGAAATCGCAATAACAATTTTTAGCAATTTGTTGAAAGGTCCAAAACAAAACCATTTTTAATCAACAGATGCTGCTGGTAAATTCTCTGAACTTGGCATTGTGTGACTGAATGTACTTCTCAAAAAAACCTAAACATAACCAATATTATTTACAATGCAGTTGAGTGTGTGTTAATGTCACAAGTGATATTGCTAGCACTTAATTATGTAACACCTACAAAAATCTAATTTTATTAATAAAAACAGGTAGACCATTATGGAAATGGGAACTTGTTAAAATACATACATACATACATACATACATACATACATATTAATGTAATTTTTATCGGTAATGCCTCCTCTATAAAAGAATTCATAAGTTTAACTCTCTAACGCAGAATTCCGACAATAACTAGCGATAAAGGTTACCCCATATGTCACTACCTACAATTATATACAGGCATTAACTTATGCTAACCTGCCTTGTCTCTATAGTACAGTATGAATACAGCTTGTCAAAGTTAGTATCCAAAACCAACTACATTCATATTGTGCTGAAGATGACTAAGCAAATCAACAAAGCTGAATTTAAATGAAATGACAAGCAGACAGCTAATGACAGATCACCAGTGTCATCATCTCTCGGGCCTTACCTAACATGCCTACTCTCATGTCATGCTAACAGCTTGTTAGCTATTACCCTCAAACCATGCTGGCTTGCTGGTGAAGGTCACACTGAAATCTCACCTTGCTGGTGGTCTTGACGCCCACAAAGCTCTGTCCCAGCGGCACAGGGCGGAAGCGATGGTCAAAGTAGAAAAGGCCGATATAGGGGTTGACGTGCAGGAACGACGCCACGTCCAGGTAGTTGGGCAGCGTAGCTGAGAGGCCCAGGATGCGAATCATGCTCTGTGTGGACTCCACCTGCAGGGTACCATGGGATTTACAAAGAGCGCCCTCTTCTGGCTGAGCAGTATTATCCTAATAAAACACTCGCTTTAACCATGCATTCTTATAGCACCCATGTTAGTAAGATTTAACAAATTAAAGCCAATAAGAAAAGTGCAGCAGGGACGTATTCAGTCCAAGCACAAAATTCACAGAATTACTTCTCAAACACGCACTGTTTCAGCTGCTCAGGGCCTCACTCTTCCAGGCCATTTTCATCGTTCTGCTGTCCATGCCGCCCAGATGAGGGCTCCAAACCCTCGCTCAAATGTGCGAGTCTCCCAGCAGTCAACCAGGCCTCTGCCAGCATGTACTACTTTGTCAAATTATCTCCAAATAGTGATCTGTTATTATATATATATATATATATATATATATATATATATATATATATATATATATATATATATATATATATATATATATATANTGATCTGTTATTATATATATATATATATATATATATATATATATATATATATATATATATATATATATATATATATATATATATATATATATACACACACACACACATATATATTACACACACAAACTTGTATCCATATCTTTGTGGAGCCTGTCCATTCATTTCTATGGGAAAATCCCTAACCCCAGCAATGGCAACCTTAATCCCTACCCAGCCGTAACCTTAACCATAACTAACCAAACAGAATGCAAGACTTTTGGCATTTGTAGTTTTTTGATTGCAGTGACACATTTTTATAAAATTGAGCTGCCCCTTGTGGGGACTGAAGAAGTGGCCCCCACAACATAATCATAACAAAATAACAGCTTTTTATCACATTGTGGGCACATTTGGTCCTCACAATGTTTGTTTTATATATCATGTCACCCGGTGTCCACCGCTCCTTTAAAGTGACATTCAGAAGAATCACGTCAGAGATACTGACATTTATACAAACAATTGGAACTCCTTTGTAACAATCACACAGAACACACAGGGAACAATGGCGGATGTTATCTGACATCCCACAGACAAAAAAGGAAGAGTATCACGCAATACCAGATATTGTTTCCTTTTCTGCATATTAGAAAAAAAATCTTTAAGCTTATCCAGAGAAAAGAAAGGGAACATAATGGCGATTTTCGCCTCTTTAAAGACAAAACACCCATTTACCAGAACTTGAAGTACGATGTGATTAAAATTCAGAACGGTAAATTTAACACATTTATTTCAGTGAAATCCAGTGACCTTCTGTGCAGGACAAGACGAAAACCGTAAGACAGTACACAGGCACCTTGAAAGAAGCATCTTTTTGATTCTTGTGGCCTGCATGCCTAAAAAGACTGCTGAAGCACTTAAGAGAACAGAGCACCTCTCTGCACTACCTATCAACGTTACTGCACTGTTGAGCAGAGGAACTGTGCCAAAACTGGCAGTGTGATGCTTAGGGGCAATGGATGTTTAAGATTACATCACGTTAAGGTTATTACATTCAATATGTATGTAATCACAACAGAACTCTAAGTCCATTTTAATAAATGGTTCTTCCATTGCTCCCTCAGGAGTGACTGGTCAAATGGTGCTTCATTGTTGTCTATTCCTGCTCAGCAAAAGAATGATGCCATTTTTCACCAATGCAAAGTGCAATTTATTAATAACATTTCCTATCTTCAAAACTCCACTTACACCTGGCAGTGACAATGCATCCACACAGCCGCAACTCCAGGACCCGGTGATGTCATCAATCAGGACCGCAGAGCAGTACTTAGTCTGTGCCCTGCCAGCGAAATATTCTCCCCTTATTTGATTTTATGGCTGCTACCTTGTGTTCTGTAAGATTAGTAATATTGCAGATTTGATGAATGGGGGAGGGGGCATGGGGGTTGAGAATTTTTGAGACACGATAAGGAGAGCTTTGTCACTGTCAGATCAGGGGATAACATCCCGAAACGGCAATGCCCCCCAGACAGTTCTGATATTCCCAAAAAAATCCAGTACTTATTATTAAGGGGCGAGGACGCCTGGGAGATGGGGGGGGGGGGGGGGGGGGGGATGATGATGATGATAATGGTGACAGTAATGATGATGGTGGAGGTGGTGAAGTTGATGATGACGATGGTGATGGTAGTGATGATGATGATGGTGATGATGATGGAGATGATAAAGTTAAGAGGGAAGCTGGAAGAAATAGCTGAGCATAGGAACACACAGATTACTTCCAATCAGGAAATTGGCTGTGCGTGGCTCTGTGGGATCGGACGCTGGGCTTGCTATTGGAAGGTCACCGGTTCAACTCTCAGTGATTGGGCCCTTGAGCAAGGCCCTTAAGTCCAATTTCTCAACTGTGCCTTACTTTGGATAAAAGTCTCTACTAAATAAAACCATAAAACCAAGACATAGCCATTCATGTTTATTTTCTGGCAACAGAGAGCTTCTGCTGTCTAAAGACATCACTCCCAGAGGGTGCAGCTGCTGTGCAGTTAAAGCTTTAGACTGGACATTTAGATTAAACCAAGCCAGTGGATTTTTGTCTGGGTTGATGGTTAATGAGCCCCACAAATTTACCTATTAATGTGCATGAAACATCTAGAGTGTCTGGTGGTCTTCCTGCCTGGTTTGCATCTGTCCATCCGAGTACGTGTCTCTGTGCTTTTGATCGATTGCCTGTCTGCTCTTTATCCATTTTTCTGACATCCTAATCCACCTTCTCTGTCTTACTCCTTACGCATCGCTGAATTATGATATCGTTTTCTATTATACTGTCTGCTTCACTTGGTTTTTATCTGTCCGTGCATAAGTTTGGGACTGCGTTTTAGCTTTAACTTTAAAAATAATTTAAAACCTACACTCTGACAGACTTCTCCAGGGTTATATTTTGGAAGAAGCATAGCAATATTGCAGCTATTTCCATGAAATAAGTAAACTGCTTGACAAGTACTGCAGCAAAAGGGATTACCTTTGATACGAGTATTATACCTACCAATAAGCCTTTATTTCATTGCCTTTAACTACCTGAAGTCGCCATAATAGCCACTCACCGAAAACCAGTACTAATTAAAGCCTCCTTCCCAATATCATAGTAACTCATGTTTTTTCTTTCTTTCTACAGTGCACTGGATTGCAAAGAAAGGCTGACTTTCAATATCACACAGCAGGGTCTGAACAAGCACAGAGTGGTAAGCTGAACGGGACATTAAAACTCCATCTTATCACCTTGGCTGGTTGTAATTAACTTGACACATTTCGATGAAAGCTGACAATTAACTTGCCTATTCTTTCATAGACGCTACATGTTATTTTTTGATGAAGACAAGTGACAAAGAGCAGGTACAATTTTGATATTTATCTGGAAAAAAAAAAAGTCTGAATTAAACCTGAGCTACAACAGAAATGGACCCAACAGAGCAATTGTAAGCGATAGGTCCTGGCATGTGAGTGATTAAATAACGGCTCTAATACCACAATGACACGGCCCCTTATTCGCGAGCAGAGCTCTTAGGCGACATGCGTCTCAGTGGGTTAGGAACCTGTCCCATTGTGTGGGAGGTGGTGGGCTAGGTCTCCGTGGCCGGCAGAACAATCGTGTCACAGCTGGCCCCCCGGGCAAAGCCCTTAACCCCTATATACCCTGGAACGCGGCACATTCTCACCTGTCCATACAGGAGCCTCTGTGTCTTGCATAGAAAGCAAGTGTGATATGTGAAAACGGAAGAATTCTTATGCATTTAAACAGATCTTTCATTTCAGTTATGTTCTAGACACCCTACAGAATCTTATCTGACAAGGTTACATTTCACCGGTTTTTTAGGCATTACATCGTTGTCTGTGCACTGATGCTGTGTTGCATTGATTAAGCCTATAATTTACACCTCTAGATAAAATTCAGTTCTGAAGGACCAGGCCAACATGGAGACAGCTCGGCCAATACCCGCACCCTACAGTGCCTCGGCCTGTACCCGCACCCTACAGTGCCTCGGCCTGTACCCGCACCCCACACTGCCTCGGCCTGTACCCGCACCGCACACTGCCTCGGCCTGTACCTGCACCCCACACTGCCTCGGCCTATACCCGCACCCCACACTGCTCTCTCCTCTGGCTCTGACTCTCCTCATTCGACCCCCTCTTGCGTCTCTCTTTTTTTGTTTGTTTAATCACTGCAAATCAGTTAATTGCCAGGGGTGTGTTTGGCATCCCTTCCTGCAAACTGGGAGAGATATTGACACATGGGTAGTTTTTCTGAATGAAGTCGGGGACACTTCAGCAACATCAACAAATTAAATTACTGGTTGTAATTATTTATCAAAAATCCAATACGCTCCTTCCGTGTGATACATCAAGACTAAGTGGAAACGCATCCATCGCCCTGTCCTCCTCAGGGGGGGGCTGGAGCCTATCCGAGGCACCACAGGAAGCAGGGCAGGGCTACGAACCTTCCAAATATTATGCTCAACAAACCAATAATACATTTACCATTGCACAGTGTTCACATATTAAGAGTTTTATGCAGAGCTTAACATGCACAGAAATAATAAATTTACTGTATCAACAACTGACGTAAATAAAAACAACAGACATACTTATAAAACCATCCATCCATTTTCAGTTGCCATTTATCCAATGAAACGTCGTTCATCAAAGAAAATGAGTCAATGCTGTCCGTCAAACGAAATGAGCCAATTCTGGGAGGTACAGAACCGAAAGTAGCAAACATGCAAGACGGATGGGCAACTCCGCCAAAGGGGCCTGAAAGACACATTCTGTCACAGGCTAACTGACACTCGCCAGCTGGACTACTGTGCTGAACTGAAGCACAGCAACACACACACACACACACACACACACACACACAGTAGCATAACCAAAAGTAACTAAACAAAATACAAGACTTTTTGCATTTTTAGTTTTGTGATTGCATTTTTATTAAATCGAAAAAGTGGCCCCCACAATGTCAAAATGAAAGGTTATCATCACATTGAGGGGATATCAAGTCCTTACAATGTAATATATA